TTCCCAAAAAGGAAGGAAAGGTTTGAGTATGCATAGACTTCAGAGATTTAAATGCAGCATCGCCAAAGGATTATTTCCCACCCACATAGATGTCTTGGTGGTAGTACTACGGACATGCAATGTTCTCATTCATGGATGGTTTTTCAGGCTATAATCAAATACTGATGGCGATGGACGATACACCAAAAACATTGTTTATTACCCCATGGGGGACATTTTGCTACCAAGCGATGCCCTTCGGACTAAAAAATGCTGGGGCTACTTATCAACGTGCTGCAACAACCATCCTACATGACCTCATTCATGACACTGTTGAAGTGTATGTGGATGATATGATTGTTAAAAGCCATGACCGTATGGAACACATATCGACATTGAAGTCTTTCTTCGATAGAATTCGAAAAATACAACTTAAGATTAAACCCCCAGAAATGTGTGTTTGGGGTGACTTCCGGAAAACTTCTAGGATTTATTGTAAGTCAAGAAGGAATCAAGGTTGATTCAGATAAGGTTAAAGCCATTAAGGAATTGCCTCCTCCAAAGAATGAAAAAGAAATAAGAGGTTTTTTGGGAAGAATTCAGTACATCAGCAGGTTCATATCACAACTTACAACTAGATGTGAACCAATCTTCAAACTTCTTCGGAAAAATGTGCCAAAAAGTGGAATGATGAGTGTCAAGCTTCATTTGATTCAATGAAAAATTATCTTTCTAATCCTCCAGTTTTGATGCCACCCAAGCCTGGGGAAGCTTTGCTCTTGTACCTTACAGTGACAGAAACTGCCATGGGTGGATTGTTGGCGCAATATCAAGAAGGTACCAAGAAAGAAATTGCTATTTATTATCTAAGAAAAAAGTTCTTAGAATATGAGACTAGATATACTCCCTTAGAAAGGGCATACATCGCTCTAATCTACGCGACAAAAAAGCTCCGACATTATCTACAAGCTCATACAACATTCCTTATCTCAAGATTAGACCCTATCAAATATATCTTTGAGAAACCTATTCTGAGTGAAATATTTGCGACAGAATTCGATATTCAATGTGTTAATAAAAAATCTGTTAAAGGGAGAGCCATATCTGAAGCGTTAGCTGATGGGCCTATATCAGGAGATGAATTCGATAACGACTTTCTGGATGAACATTTATTCAATATCAATACATCACAATGGAAGATGTACTTTGATGGAGCATCTAATAGAAGGGGGAATGGTGCAGGTGTGTTACTTATTGATCCACATGAAGTTCATATTCCCTTTTCAATAAAACTTATTTTTCCAACAACCAATAACACCGCTGAATATGAAGCTTGCATCTACGGTGTAAAGGCAGCCTTAGCAGCAGGGGCAAGAAATCTTATAGTGTATGGTGATTCAAACCTCATTATATTTCAGACAATTGGAGTGTGGAGGGTTCGAGATGAAAGGTTGCAAATGTATACTGACCATCTCCAACAACTTAACCCCTGCTTTGAGGAAATCGATTTCAAACATCTCCCCCGAGAACAAAATAGTTTCACTGATGCGCTAGCAAATTTGGCAGTAAATTTAACCTGGGAAGATAACGTTAAAGTTCGGTCTGTAGCTATAGAAGAAAAAAGTTCCCCAGTGATCATGGATGAAGAAATGATCGCATCATTAACTATACAAGACGAAGAGGACGCTTGGTATAGCGACATAAAAAATTTCTTGGCCACTTGAGAATATCCCGAAGGGAGTCATAAAAAAGATCAACTTGCAATTCGAAGGCTAGCCGCTCATTTTGTGATATTAAAAGATCAATTGTATCATAAAGGTTTTGGTAGAACCTTGCAACTATGTATTCATGGTGAACAAGTCCGAAAGGTCATGGGAGAAATCCATGGAGGAGAATGCGGACCACATATGAACGGACGAATGTTGGCTCGTAAGATTTTACGATCCGAGTATTATTGGAGCACCTTGGAGACATATTGCATACACTTTATAAGGACATGTAAGAAGTGTCAAATATTTGCAAATCTCAACCATATGCAACCCGTCTCACTACATAATCTCACTTCACCGTGGCCATTCTCAAGTTGGGGCATCGACATCATTGGACAAATTCATCCGAAAGCTTCAAATGGGCATCAATACATTTTAGTAGCGATTGATTATTTTTCAAAATGGATTGAAGCAGCATCATTTTCCAAGTCAGGTGCAAAAAAAGTCTCGAAATTCGTGATAAATAACATTATTTGTCGCTATGGAGTACCTTTTGAAATGATTTCGGACAATGGGTCGCAATTCGAGGGGCAATTGAAAGAAACTCTTGAAAAGTATAAAGTCAGACATCATCAATCTTCTCCTTATCGCCCGCAAACCAATGGAGCAGTTGAAGCAGCCAATAAGACCATTCGGACAATAATCGCATAAATGACTGAAAAGACAAGGGAATGGCCTAACAAGTTGCCGTATGCTTTTTGGGGGTATAGAATCTCTATTCGAACCCTAACAGGAACTACTCCTTACTCCTTGGTGTATGGGATGGAGCCCATCCTTCCCATAGAAATCGAAATTCATTCCTTACGGGTCATGAATGAAAGTGAAATCTCTGAAGATCAATGGCTCAAACTTCGGAATGATGAACTTGCCTTAGCAAATGAACGAAGGTTACAGGCTCTTCACAATACCCAACTTTACCAACGACGCATTGCTCGAGCCTTCAACAAAAAAGTTGAGCTAGAGACATCCAGGAGGGTGATTTGGTGCTAAAACAAAATCAGGCTCCTCTTCATGATCCTCGGGGCAAATTTAAACCAAATTGGTCAGGACCATTCTTGGTCAAACATATCACTCCTGTCGGGGCAGTACAGTTAGTCGATATAAATGGTGATACTTTCCTCCACTTCACCAATCTTGATCAGCTCAAAAAGTATTACGCTTAGTATCCATACCCAAGTCAATACGGGTAAAAAAAAAAAAAAAATCTTCGCACGTACTTTAGTCAATAAAACGGGAAATTTCTTGTCAATGTATGACATTTAATCAACTCTAAGGTTGCATACGAATTATAGTTTTTATAATCTCGTCTCCTTTAGATTTATCGATTGTATATTTAGGCTTTGATGTCATTGTCTAAACTTTGGACCTCCAATACGGTTATTAAAATACATGATTGGGCTCATAAAATGGAATATTCTAAATCATGATCTCGTAATCATAAAATTTAAATTTCAAGTAACAAATGTCAAAGTTTAGAGCAACAATGAGTTGACTTTTAAAGAAAAACTTCATTCCAATGAGAAATTCCAACCTTAAAAACACAATGTTACATAAGATAACATTTGATCCTAATTCGATGCTTCAAATGCCCATAGTGCAAAGGAAACCCTAGACTTATTACGTGAAAGGTTCAAGTGCAAAAAAAAAAAAAGGGGCATTTGAATCTTTCCGTTCTTGACTTTATCATTTCTCTTCCTTAATCCTCTTCGAATTGCTGATCGAGGGTTCATCCTCTATCTTTGGCCTTTTAAAAGAACCCATATCTTTGAGAAGCCACCCATCATAATAAACATCAATAGTCGGATCTCTTAAGACAGGGAGAAATGGAACTTCTTTTACCCGTTCCCAAACTTTGAACAGATCCCTCAACATGTTGGTATCTATCCAATGAGCGGTACATTTCATCAGTGGGAAGATCCTTTAGGAAGGTTTGTCGCTGCCCGAGCTGCCGAAGACACCTCCACGGATAATAAAAAGTGACCTTGTTGATACTTGGAAGCACTACAACCCTTTTTGTTAGCAGTACTATATATGACTTCTTTGATCCCAAAATGAGAGGTTACCTATTGGATTTCACCTTCAAGGGTAAAGCTCCAAGCATTACTTTTCTTTACCTTATGATATAAGGGTGAACAACCCCTACTAAGGATAATCTTAGGATGGTACTTGATTTCGTTCAAAGGTTTCACCAACTTAAACTTCTCCATCAGCCACAAGTGAAGCACCAGTGGGCTCCCCTTCATAAAGGTGTATGGATGTTCCTTTTGATGATCAAGACTAAGGACCAATTCTCCTAAGATCAATGGCCTAATCGCCCCCATAAACCATGTAGTGCATAGCTAGCTACATTGTTATGACACAACCCAAGATCTTCCTTGAACAACAAAAGACCCATGAGGGAATCAAGCATGCTCGACTTCGTGCGGAGCCATATGAAATATCAAGTTTAAGACTGGTACTTTTTCTTTAAAAGGTTCGAGGACACAATTGATAAGGATGGAATATTCATGATGGAAAGTCATACCATCATGATAAGATATTCCTAAAGCCTCATGTAAATAACCACTAATAGAAGTACACTTTTTGTGGTAACCAATGGTCCACTCATAGAAAAACCCAAGAGGCCTTCAATTTCTTCTACCATTGGCACCATCTCTCCACCTTTAAACCTAAAAACATGCTTTTTCTCATCCCAATATTTTGTAGAAGCATAAATAAGGTCATAGCAAAGTGGAAGTTTGAGAAGAGGAAGAAGGGAATCAAAGAAGATTTTTTGCATAACTTTTCTCTCCTAAAGCAACCTCTACCCCCATGGAAAATAAAGTGTTTTTGTAGTCTATTTCATTGATTTCATTCAAGTAGCTGGGTTCTTTTCCTTTCATATCCATAATTTTGAAAGAAATTTGAGGAAAAGGAGAAAGGGAAACAAGAAAACTAAGTATTTCTTGTTTCAAAGGAGAATAGAAGTGAATGATTATGATCACCCAAACTCATGTCTTATATAGGCAAAGAAAAAACCCCACCTTACATTGAAACACCTATAAGATTTCATGCATTTAGTCCCACCACAACATGCAAAAATCCCACATATAAGCTTTCATGCATCTAGACCAACATAACATGCAAAAATCCCACCTTACATTGAAACACCTATAAGCTTTCATGCATTTAGTCCTACCATCCAACACATGCCATTTTTCTTCATGCAAACTTTATTTACATGCATGTGTTATGATAACAATCAATTGTTTTTTTTACTCCATATTCTCATGGTTAAAGTACCCGTGAAACTTGCTTTTTTTGTACATGAATAGTATAGTCAAACAAAATCAAATTAATCCTTAGAATGTCTTTTTAGCTAATTTTACGGTTACACTTTGATATGCCTCAAGCTGTTTATTATTATCTTCGTTCTATATGGAGTCTTTCAAGCCGATTTTTCATCCATGTGTAATGAACGAATAAGTTCTTTATCGAAATTTCCAAAGCTGGTTTTTCAACCACAACTGATCAATAAATCAAATTTTCGAGCCGATTTTTCAAACCGCAACCAAAATTCCCAAAGCTGGTTTTTCAGCCACAATTGATCATTGGTTAATTGACTAAGACTTTTTAAGCCGGTTTTTCAACCGCTATCGAGATTTTTTCAAAGCTGGTTTATCAACCACAACTGATCAATAAATCAAAATTTTCGAGCCAGTTTTTCAACCGCAACCAAAATTCCCAAAGCTGGTTTTTCAACCACAATTGATCATTGGTTAATTGACCAAGACTTTTTAAGTCGGTTTTTCAACCGCAATCGAGATTTTCCAAAGTTGGTTTATCAACCACAACTGATCAATAAATCAAAATTTTCGAGCCGGTTTTTCAACCGCAACCAAAATTCCAAAAGCTGGTTTTTCAACCACAATTGATCATTGGTTAATTGACCAAGACTTTTTAAGCCGGTTTTTCAACCGCAATCGAGATTTATCAAAGCTGGTTTTTTAACCACAACTGATCATCAATCAAATATTCAATTTTATTTAAGCCAGTTTTTCAAACTGCAAATAATTGGCGATAAATTTTTAATCACAGTCAATACGTTGTATTTGACCGCAAATATTCTCACGCCACATTTAAGCATATGCTTGATGATTATTAGCATTTTGTTTTACTCTAGTTTCTTTATAAGTTCTATTTAAGGATCAAAATTTACTATCTTTTTCTAATCATTAATCATCATTTGTTCCAAACTCGATCAATGAGGGGCATTCTGTAGACACCAAATTTTGATCCCCTATTTTCCATACTTTTTTACTTTCAATTAACTAATAAATTATAATAATAAGATCTGATTTTGCTAACGACAACCGCAATAATTAGACATAAGAGACAAATTCAAGTAGTGTTTATTTATAATTTTGGAGTATACAAAACTCTTACAATTTGTACTCCTAATTTACGAACAAAATGCGAGGTTAATTCGAAGCATAACTCGAACCTTGTACACTCCGTGCGGGGAACTTCAAGTCGTCATTTATTCATGATTATGAAAATCATTAACGCCATTAGTAGCACCACTAACTCCATGATCAAAGCTAAATATAAATTTAGCACTCGAAAATGCTCGTCGAACGGAGATGGAGCTTGACGATTTTGGTTGCCGGGAGCCATGGAAACCGAAGAGGAAAAGGCAAGGGGTGTGTTTTTTGAGTAAAGGGTGATTTCGGATAAGGGAAATCTCCCTTTTATAAGATAAATTTTATCCGTATTTTTGTCATATCCCAATTGTATAATCGTTTAGTCTAATAATAGTAGTAAGTGTATCTTTTAAAAGTAACATAAAATAAAAACAATATTGTTACTACTGACATATGTAACAATTATTCCGTTTGACATATCCTAGTCAATAGTATCAAATTTTGACCCTTTAATCTGTACATTTTTAAAACCGTGACCATTTCTAAAGTATC